GTGCTACTATAGAAACCAGTGTGTCTTCTTTTATGGCCAAAGGTTGGGCAGCTCATGGAACAAACAGGGAAATTAATCCCCCGTATCTGGGGGAAAGGACACTCGTCTGCTCCAGTCAAGACCCACTTATGGCTAGGTGGCTAGATTAAGATGCTTGAGTGGCTGTTATCCTTGTGTTTCCAAAGTAGACAAATCTCCATATTTCCTTCTTGCCCTGGGCTTTTGAAACTCACTAACATCTCCATGGCTTACAACACCTAGCAGATTGTTTGGACTCCTGTGCTCTTCTCTCTACATTACTTTTTACTCATCCAACCAGACGGAAGAGTGCTGGAAGCTTGCACATTTTGTAAATTTATACTTCATCGTAATATACATATTGCCCCCTTATGAATTTAGGACTATATTTAATTCTTAGCTATTAAAATTTCTTCTATTGGTGGAAACAACCAAACAAGACTTTTTTGTATCCTGGTTTACTGCTGTTGTAAAATTGCTGTCACAGTCTACGTCAGATAGTAGACTGGTACAGGCACAGTAAAAGCTCAGAAACATTACTTCTTTGAAGTAATACACTGTACTGGATCACTGTATGTTACTGTATATCCTGAAACCCTCTCCCCACCACCAGCACTGCCAAACCAAAACCCTAATTTCTACAAGGCCTGCAAATGAATCAAAAGAAGGCAAATTTGGACAGATAGGCATGGGTTGTTCCATATCCAGCACCATCCTGATCTGTTTCAGTGTCTAGCATCGGCTGGCTAAATAACATTAAAGGGTTCCAATTTATGAATAGTAAGACATTGGAAAGCAGCAGTAGTAAGATTGAATCAACGTGACAGAGTGAGCACCCGTCGCTTGTCCCAGCTCCCGCCAACCTAGCGGTTCGAAAGCATGCAAACGCAAGTAGATCAATAGGGACCACCTCGGTGGGAAGGTAACAGCGTTCCGTGTCTAAGTCGCACTGACCATGTGACCACGGAAGATTGTCTTCGGACAAACGCTGGCTCTATGGCTTGGAAACGGGGATGAGCACCGCCCCCTAGAGTCGAACACGACTGGACAAAAATTGTCAAGGGGAACCCTTTACCTTTACCTTTAAGACATTGGAAAAATGGAACTCTGAGAATCTTATTTTCACACCCGTTCGCACCCAGTTATACCAGAATATTTCCGCCTAATCACGTTTTCCTCCACTTAAATTAAAGGGGATATAAACTGTCCCTGATCCAGATATTCCTGATACACTTGAGCTATGGCTCCTCCATCAAAGCCAGGATAAACTATTGTTTCCCTCTGACATGGCACATTGTTCAAAAAGCAGATGTGACCTAACAAATGATCTTTGTCCTTATGGTCTCTCCTGCATTTCTGCAAGTCTGCATTTAATTCCTCAAGATAACTCGTGCTGCGCATGTTATCTCTGCTCTACAAATGCCTGGCTATTCCACATCTCCCTCCTCCAAACATACACCTCCACCTCTGCTATTTAGTCTTTTCTGGGTGTTGAAACAAATAACAACTACACTACCCTAGACTTCAGTCTACCCAGATTGGGGCAGCGGCAGGAAGACTTTTGTAGTGTCAGATTTTCTTTACTACATCTCCCATAATCCCTCAACCCCTGGCCATGATGGCTAAGGCTTCGGTGAGATGAAGCACAAAATTTTTGAAAGGTTCCACTTCTCTTAGACTTGAAATTCAGAACTGTCAGCCACAGGAAATCACAGACAGTGTCTACTGATACATATTCCCAGTCTCTAGCAGCATACATACGCAGTGCTGTGTGAAAAGGGAACGGAAAGCCCTTGCCTCCATCGAAACATTGTTCAAGGCTTTGTGCAGTTACAGTTCTGTCAACAAGAGCTCAGGAAAGTTACTTTTTGTGCAACAACAGAATCCACCAGCCAGCAAGGCCACTACTGGCTGGAGAATTCTCAGAAACACAATACATAACAGTCGCTTTTCCAAATTTTAGTTCAGAAAAGGGAAAAACAGATGTGGCAGCAAATTGTCTGCTTCCTTGACTCTTCCGCTGCTACTTCATTTTAAGTTCCAAGTCACAACAGAATATGACCAGCAATTGAGAAATAATACAAAATATAAACAAAGAGGTTAGCTAATATAGACCTGATCCTTCATATAACATGCAGCGATGGGCATGAATGAGAAAAATGGGGGGGGCGGTTTATTTGTGATTCATCAAGGTCAAGAAATCATGAATTATGAATTTACAATTTTTTTCTGATTAATCAATTCATCAATTTGTTTTGGACTTTAAAACCCTAAAATACACCCACCTCCAAGCACCTAGAGACACCGAATTCACAGGGAAGCTTCCTCTGACTCTCCTCTAAAAGCCCCACAAGTCTGGTGAAGTTTGGTCTTTGGACATTTGTACACCCCCAAGGAGGGCCCCACCAGGGAAGTTCTCCCCCACAGGCACCTAGAAACACCAAAATTGCAGGGATGCTTCCCCTGGCTCTCCTCTACAACCCCTCCATGTCTGGTGAAGATTGGGTTTCAGACAAAGTGGGTCACCCCATTAAAGTGCCTTTTAGCAGCTGGCTTAGGGAAACCCAATCTTTACCAAACTTGGAGGGATTGTAAAGGAAAGTCAGTAGAAACTTCTCTGTAATTTTGGTGTCTCTAGGTGCCTGAGAGCGAACTTTCCTGGGGGAGCCTCTTTCTAGGTGTATAATATGTACATCCAAAATCCAATCTTTAGCAAACCTGGAGGGATTGCAGAGGAGAGGGGGGGGGAAGCTTCCCTGCAATTTTGGTGTCTCTGGGTGTCTGGGGGGCATTTTATAGCCAAATGAATTGACAAATAAAAAGCCACTAAGAATTCATTGATTCGTATTCATCGGAGGCGTTGATTTGTACAAATATGAATCAACGAGTTAGTGATTTTTGAATGAATTTGGTTGTTCATTTTTTAATCTGTGCACATCTCTAATAACATGTAGAGACTGACAGAAGTCATGTGTATGATTCTATCATCACATTCAACTTTCCCTCCAGGTTCATTTCACTTTTGTCTAGTCAACATACATGAAGAAACTGCCATGAAATTTTTCTGCTATGGAGAAATCAGAACGTGGAAATCTTACTTCTTTGGACCACAACTTCCAGAATTCTCTAAATAGCTGTGCTGGCTCTTTTACTGTGGGCGTTGTGGTCCAACAAGTAACATGTCCAACCTGTGGGAAACCTATGCATTCAAATAATTCTTAGCAAAACCCTGAGCATCCCACGAAGTGAGAAGCAGAGGTATAAGCGAATTTTGCCCTGCTAAAGTCAAGGTCTAAAATCTATTGATTCTTCTAGTCTACAGATTACCATTCTGGCTCCATTCTAAGTTATTCCTTAAAGCCCAGGCTTCAGATTCCACAAGATATTGTTCTCAGTCAGAACAGACAAGTGGACAATTCTGAATCATAAACCAATATAATAGAATGTCAACTATTAGAGAATCCTTGTCAATAACATAACAATCAGCAATAATAACACTTAATCCTTGTTAACCCATAGCACCAAGTCAACTGGGGAAGATGTGTGGATGCAGCAGCACCTAAGTCTATGGAAGAGTGTGTGTAGCTGAAACAAGTGGGTTTCCAAATTACTTCATATCTATGTATTCACGCAGGCTTTCACGGCCAGGATCTGATGGTTGTTGTGGGTTTTTCGGGCTCTTTGGCTGTGTTCTGAAGGTTGTCCTTTCTGATGTTTCGCCAGTCTCTGTGGCCGGCATCTTCAGAGGACTGGAGTAGGAACTCAGTCCATGCTCTGTCAACTCTGTCCATGCTCTGTCAACAGAGCATGGACAGAGTTCCCACTTCAGTCCTCTGAAAATGCTGGCCACAGAGACTGGTGAAACGTCAGGAAGAGCAATATTCAGAACACAGCCAAAGAGCCCAAAACCCCACAACAACCATACTTCACATCTCTTCAGTAATTGTTACAACAGCCTTACAGAGTAGGCCAGTATTATTAGCCCCACTCGGCACACAGAAGACTGAAATGAAAGAATGTTTGTATGGGATTTCCCAGTCCAGCCCTCACATTTCTGCAGCCCAGTCCCAAGCACATTTACTCAGATCTTTGACCTCAGTGAAGCTTATTTCTAAATAAATAAGCATCAGATGACAATCATAGCCAATTTGCAGTGCAGTGTTACACTGTTCTCAAGACGGCTGCTCATCCCTCATTTCTCCACATTCCTTCTTCCATATCAGGTCCACTTACTTAATGGCAAAACACGGCAATATACGTGATAAACATCCAAGACTTCTCACTATGTTAGTCGCAGTCTACATGAAAAATCAAGAACCTGATTTACTCAGAAAAGAAGGCAGCCAACAAAGATGAAATAAACACAACAAAATAAATACAATACTCCAAGTTATCATTTCCCAAACAAGCTAGGAAAAACTTTGGGTAAATCAGGGATAGAATGTCACTACTTTGTGACTCCTGATCTCCCAACAGACGAAATTAAATTAGAATTGCAATTGGCACATTTTTTTTAACATTTGAAATGGCACATGCTGCTTGCTCCATCTTGACCAAAAAAGCCTTTAAAAAGCCTTCCTTAAAAAGGAAGAAGAATATAAGGGAGGGAACTTTTGAAATGTGGACACCCCTTCCACACGGGTAGAAAAGATCGTGTGTAACATACCTACCCACGCGCACCTTGTTGCACGTTTGGTGGCTCCTTCCTTCCACTCCCTGAGCAGCTGCGCGTGTAAGGGAGGCGAGTCTCCAAAGTTTGGAAGGGCAAAATGGAAACGCACTCAGCCGGCCCGTCCTCTTCTCCTCTCCGCCTGCACTACATTCAAGGTTCGGTCTCGGGTCCTCCACACCTTTCCTAACGCGGGTCTTTGAACATGGCCCCAGCGCCTGGGTATTTTGTTCCCACCCACCCCTCAAACCCCCCTACCCCAGGACCGGCTCGCGTCTCCTTCGCGTCTGCCCCGCGCAAGAAGCCACTTTACCTTGGAGAGGGCTCTTCCTCGCAACTTTTCACCGCCTCGCGCTTTGTCCGGAGGGAGCTTCTTCTGTCACTCCCTTGCGCCGGGCCGGCTGAGGAGGCTGCATGGCAGCGGCAGCGGCGCCGGCGCCGAAGTTCACCGAAGAGCGGCGCGCGGCTGAAGCAGGCGGCCCACTTGAGAGAGAGAAAGAGTTGCCACGGCGGGTGACTGCCTGCTGGCTCGCCCCCCTTTCCCTTCCTCCGGCTTCGGGGCGAGGAGGAAGGCGGCAGCGGCCAGCAGGTGTAGCTGTCGGTGTGAGTGTGTCGGTGTGTTCTCCCGGGGAGAAGGGTTTGTGGGTGTGTGAGAGGAAAGCGCGCGCCGGCGGTCTGGCGAGTTAGGTGTGCCGGTCGGTGCGCGCGCGCGGGAGGGGACTCGACCTGTTGGCCGTCTGAGGGAATGGTCGTGTGAATGGATGAGCGAGTGTGTGTGTGTGTGTGTGTGTGTCGGTGGGAGGGAGGGAAAGGCAGTGTTCCTCTGGCGAAGGTCTGTCCCTCTGAGTGAGAAAGTCAAATATTGGTGGGCGTGAGGGGAAGTGAGGAGGCGTTGGCACTGTCGGAGCACACCTGGGGAGAGGCTTGCCTTTCCGAGCTTTTTCACAACGGAATCCGAGATGTTTCACATTTCTCAAATGCAGGCCCCACATACATATAGTTACAGGCATTGGTATTTGAATTCTGGATGTTGTGGGGTGATCCGATCAGATGAATAAGGGACACCCGCGATCCTGTTGCAAACAGGAGTTGAAACTGCTCTCTGTAGAGTTTGCGGACGAACGTGAAACACGCGTTCAGGGCGAGAAATCGTTCGGACAGCTCCTACTAACCTTTGAAGGAAACAAGCAGTTGCTTATGTCGGAAGAAGAAAATTATAAATGTGGTAGGGTAAAGTTCATAATAGCCTGCTTTCTTAAGGCCATCGAAAGAATGTCATGGTCAAACAACTAGTTGAAGCAAGCTTTCCTTCTTTCAAACATATTATTCCCTCCCAAAAAGGGTGATATGGCATTTTAAAGACTGACAGATTTGCCTCCTCAGTTTTCATGGACAGAGCCAGCTTCATCAGATGAGTCCAGTGTGATCCTAAACTGGTAGGTGGAGGTGAATATGGGTGTGTAACAATGTAGGTGGGTTGGGGCAGGGGTGGAGAAAGAGAAATTTAAGGGCTATTAATGTTATATGGCAAAACATCCCAGGCACTATTCCACCATGGCACTCTACAGAAAGTTTGCTTGGTTTTAAAAGGCCCATGTGTATAGAAACTTTTTGAAAATGTTACAAATTAACACTAGTAGATAACAACAGAAAACAAGTCAATTAAAACTACTCAACAAGAGAAGTGTGGTTAAAAAGTGTTTTCCCTTTAATTAAAAATAGTTCCCACAATCAGACAGCACATTCAAATGTTACTCACTTCCTAAACAAGTTAAGAAGTATAGATGATGTGGAACATCTGCTTTCACAATGAAGGGTCTCTTAGGGATCTGCATCGGACCAGGGGTATGGTAGAGTCAAAGCTTGCAAGGGTCAGATCTCCAGGACCTTTTGATTAGTCAGGAGTATGCCATCACTGGCCACCACCCTCTTACTTCCCTGGCCTCTCTGTGCTTAACTGTGATCCTCACAATAACTGGAGGAGAAGTGGATTTTTGCAGAAACGGTATACTGTATTGTTGCCAACTGGCCATGTTATAATACAAAGTGTTTGAATGTAGTTTGATGTTGAATAGATAATAAAGAACCATTACCTTTCTGAAAGACCTGCTCAGGCTGTAAACCAACATTGTTATAACTTATTTATTGATATGAATAGACCCAACTCTCTGGGGACTCTCCTGTAGGCTAGCTATAGGGACTATAATTCTCAAGAGCCTTGTGGCACAGTGGTTAAACTGGACTACTGCAGCCAAGGCTCTGCTCACGACCTGCATTGTATCCCAATGGATTCAGGTAGCCAGCTCAAGGTTGACTCAGCCTTTCATCCTTCCAAGGTCTGTAAATTGAATGTCCAGCTCTTGTGGGGTGGGGAATGTGTAGTGTGCATAATTTAATTATAAACTGCCCAGAGAATGTTTGTTCTGGGTTTTTTGGGCTCTTTGGCCGTGTTCTGAAGGTTGTTCTTCCTAACGTTTTGCCAGTCTCTGTGCTGTCCTCTGAAGATGCCGGCCACAGAGACTGGCGAAACGTTAGGACGAACAATCTTCAGAACACGGCCAAAGAGCCTGAAAAACCCACAACAACCAGTAGATCCTGGCCGTGAAAGCCTTCGCGAATATATTGCCCAGAGATATTAAACACTATGAAGCAGTATATAAGTAGCATGTTTTGCTTTGCTTTCCATATTTATGGCTGTACCATGGATTGGGACCAATGCATACGTTGACCAAGAGTGTGGTTGCTTTTAAATAGGTGTGTGTGTGTCTGTGTGTCTTATATATATAGATATATAATTGTGCATAGTGTGAAGAATGTAGATTAGGAGAAGTTGGTATAACATGATAACCAGAAGTCATACACTGAAGATGAATGGAGATGAAGGACAGATAAAACTTTTTCCAGCTGTGCATATTAACACTTCCAAATAGTATATGGCTTCCAAATAAATTCAGGGGGTTAAGGGCCATCAGTGGCTGCTAATCAGGAGGATTGTGTATTGCTAAGTGTGAGAAGCAGTCCACCTCCTCATATCAGTTGCTAGGGATGTAAGAGGGAAGGTCTGCTTGCTCTTATGTCCTGCTGGCAGGCTTTCTTTTGCCAACGAGTCGGCTGCAATATGAACAAAATGATATGTTAGACAGGCCATTGGCCTGGCCTTTCAGGGCTCTTCGTAAGAGAAAATGTTGTGTGGAACTTTGCCCAGCTGGCCCTATGCCCACAACCACCAGTCTCCCCTTTTAAACAAAATTCACTGCTCTGGGCAACAAGAAAGGAGTTAATCAAGAGGGTGGAGGTTCTGCATGCCTAGGCACAGACCCCAGATGCCTGTTGACTGCTGGTGCACGTTTGTGTTGCCAGGCCTTACTAGCACTTGGAGGTGTGTGCCAGGGCTGCTTGGTGTGAGTAATGCTCTTCCTACTGCAAGTGTTCTCCTCGTTAGAAACTCCTCTTCGGGGAAAACTAGAAGGACTGGTATGTGCCCACAGTCTTTTGCTGACAAACAAGCCATTTCCCAGCAGATATGCCACCTCTGCCCCCTAGGCCTACCAAAAGTATGGCCAGTCCCACCAACATTTCAACTCCAAATCTGTCATCGTATTTTGGTTTGTGTGTGTATGTGTGTGTGCTTACCAGGGAACACTGATCTTGTTCATCTGCAGCTAGTAAAGAGAACCTCAGCACATTCTAAAATATATGGCAACAAATAACACTGAAACGCACTATTTCATTAACCTGTATTTTTTCATAGGAAGGAAATCACTGGAAGATTCTAGGAATGGAGGCCAGAGGAAAGAATAGCTGCAAATCTTTGGAAGATTTCCAGCAGTATTGCCAAAAACAAAATAGCTGCCATGGGGATACATTTGTTGTTTTAGAATATTGTCAATCCCACTCTTTCTGTGGTTGTTCATGTCGGACATGGAAAAGGAAAAGGAATTGAAAATAAAACTGGTGTTAAGGCTAGCAATGGCAATAAGTAATAGCAGATATATAGCACTTCCAGAAGTAAAATGCCTCTGAATATTAATTACTGGGGAACAGCAGCAGAACAGGGCTAGCGCCTTTCTGTCCTTTTTTCTGGACTCCCCATCCCACCCCAAGGCATCTGGTTGGTTATTGAACAGAAACAGAGGGCTGGATTAGAATACCCTTTGGTCTCATCCAGCAACCAGGCTCTAATGTCATGTTCCCTTTATCGCAGCAATCTGTGTTCCAGATGTCCATAGCAATGCATTGGATTGTTACAGGCAGCTCCATAAGAAAGAGCAGACACCTTTATTATTGTTCAAACATGCATCAAGGGAACCATGGTGGCTCATGGACTGGGACACAGAGGTGCCCTCACCCCAAAATTTTGAAGGACCCTCCCTTGCTTCGATTATGAGCCATCTATGAAGGGAGCACCCCCACACATCTATAGGGCCTAACAGGATGAGCCCTGCACCTTGTTGGCCTTTCCATCCAAATGGTTATAGGAATAAGTTGGACTGATCAGTTAATGTGTAATCTTCAAGGAGGTGAGGCTGAGGAGCCTAACGCTGAGGGAGGCCCGGAAGGAAAAGACAAGAAATTGGGCCTTCTTGGCGGTGGCTCCTCGCCTCTGGAACAATCTACCTCCAGAGATTCGCGTGGCTCCCTCGCTGGGTATCTTTAAAAATCAATTAAAAACATGGATGTTTTGGCAGGCCTTCCCTCCAGTCAATTCCTGATGCTTTCTTTCCTTCCTTTTTCCCATTGTTTGCTCCCATCTTGTGAAATGTGTTTTATTATGTAGAAACTGTTTTTATATATATATTTCTGTGTGTTTTTTGCTGTAAGCTGCCTAGAGTGGTCTTAACCAACCAGATAGGTGGGATATAAATAAAATAAAATAAAATAAAATAAAATAAAATAAAATACATACATACATACATACATACATACATACATACATACATACATACATACATACATACATAATTCCTTTCCCAATATAACTACATTACATTAGAATTGTCACTTTAAAGTTCATTCCTTTCATCAGTTTTAATTTCATGACAATAGATTTTCATAGTAATAGTGATATGCCCTCACAAAATGGTAGAGGAGGGCTATCCAAGAGTTGATACATGTTGTGCCTTTTACTGCCATCTCATGCTCTGTTGTGGATGATGAGGCCACAAGGCTATGAAAGGAAGCCAGTAGCTTGTAGCATTCAAATGTTTAAAAAAGTATTTAGTTTAGTTCTGTGATTTATCTATCTATCTATCTATCTATCTATCTATCTATCTATCTATCTATCTATCTATCTATCT